TTATTCCAACATCTTTGTGCCATTCACCCTGTTTTTGGAATAACTCCTCGGCATGATGTTGCCACCATCGTGCCGAGATGTATCATTTGAATGGAAAACAAGGATCTTTTTTCCTCAGTTGTGAAGTCATTCCCTTTTATTTTTCTTTGCATAATGTTTCTTATCTTAATTTTTCCCACATGAAGTCATTAATGTTAATTAATGAGTCATGAGGGAAAAAATTGAGCCAATACACGGTTATAAGAGGTAAAACCTATTTTCCAAACTCCACTAAATAAAGTGTTGTGTTCAAATGCCGAGTCTAAGCTCGTAAACGGCATCTCCATCTGCGTTCCATCATCGCGCTCACCACGTGTCTGAGAGTAGGGAAAGAGGTGGGGAGGAAAAATGAGCAGCTCAGCGATTCGAGTGTTTACGGTTTGTACCAAGTGGGCAGATTTTTATCTGTGTGGAGCAGTCAGGACCTGAGTGGGGGGAATAACACTTTTGAATGCTCAGCCCAATGGGGCAACAATAGCTGCGGTGTCCAAACAATGTGGCCCTCGGCTCGTGTGGCGGACACAGGACACAGCTGCCAAGACTGCAGCCTTCCAGCTCTGGTTAGAAGTTATCTGTGGGCATTTCATCAGGACACATGCTTCTCTGATGAATGCATCAACAAACCGTGGAGAAGTTCAGTCATTTTACCCCCAAAAGGAGACTTAACGTAAGGCCTCAGATCCCTGCCTGTTAGCCTGTTTCTACTCCGATCTTTAACTACTGAAACTTGCATGAAACACAGCTTTAATTAAACAATATTTTAACTTAATTACTTTTAAGTTTTTACTTTTTCTTTTTTTGCATTTAGCGCTTTAAACTTAATTTCTGCATTTTGGTGATCCAGAGTTATCATATTAATGCCTGAAGGACGCCTGGTGATGACACTTTTTTTTAGAGTTCATAGCTCAATTAACATCTTCATAGAAGTTTTATGCAATTACTAAAAAAAAACATTAAATGAATTTACCAGGCTATGTTATAAAATAAGCTTCTAGAAACGTTTTTTGTTTATATATCTATATAACCAAAAATGATAAACCCACCAAAGCTTTAGTAGATTAACCATCATTTTAATTTAACTTGTATGCAAAGTATATGCAGGAGATGAGTAATACAATTATTAGATTCAATTAATTATCTAATTAAACATAATGGACAATATTTCTATAGATTTTGCTTCTTTTTTCCATTTTGCCCAATTATCTGTGAATATATTTGATAGATTACGACCCCCCATCAAATTAAAATTAGTCAGAGGGAAAATAAAACATAGATCCCTGTGGCATCCGACTCTGTTGGAATACTTACTTAATCTAAAATCCATCTAGATTTTGCAGCAAGATGAGTTGGCTTTAGAGAACCAAAAATATTTTAAACCTACTTCACCATGTGACTCATTTTTAGTCCCACTCCTGCGTACTGCTCTATCGTGCTTTCCTGCACAACACGGTGTTGCAATATTTTATTTTCAGTACGACCAAATTACTGTCATTGAATATGAAGAACAGCAACACATTCCTCAATTTAAAAGCCTTTATCATCTCAACAGCAGTTGTAAATGTGTACTTTGATGCATCCTTATCCGTTTTTCTTAAGGGGCAGCAAAATGGTAAAATAAAGATCTTTATTTCCCTGTTTAGAAATGCACTGACCATCCTGAGCTCTAGGTTGACGTATTAACATTTCACATAAAAAGATCTTTGATTGATATTGTGCTGCAGGATTGTGACTTTTTCGGGTATCCTGAGGTACATAAATAGAGAAAAGTGTTGATTTGGCAGCTTTATCTTTCTCTGTAGGATTCACACTTTACGCCAACGGTTAGGGAAAAAGGTCAATGCATTGGTGCTATAGGAAATGTAACCTCTCCCTTATGTGTTGTTTGTTTTTTATGTGAGGCACTATGCAGAAATTTGTGACTTTAAAAGTGGTTATTCTTTTATATGCAGACCAAACGGAAAAATAAAATAACCTCAACCTAGCTGTGTGTAAATCTGAAAGAGGTGACTCTGTTTATCTGTTTATTATTGTTTTTCTCTGTGGATTTTATTTAAAGGTATTGGAACCATTATATTTTTCAATTTTTTTAATTATTAAAGTACATAGATTGTTATCCCACTGTGGGTGAATGAAAATGTGAAAGGCAAATGGAAGCATGTAAATACACAAAGGTAAAAGAAATTTAGGAACATGAACTAAAAAATCCCGTACAAATATTCAAAACAGTGATTAAAGACTGGTGAAAGAATAAAAAAAAAAACTGGAATTTAAAAAAACTATTGTGTGTGTGTTTGGGATGTTTAGTGATGGTTATAAAGCGTAACAGCTACAGGGAGGAAGGATATCCGATAACGCTCATTAGCGCTCCTAGAACACAGCAGTTTTTCACCAAAGAATCTCTTTAGTTTTGCAAAGGTTCATGCACTGTGTGGGAGACAATTTATTTTAAATTTGATTTTAAAAAATCTAGGAGTGGCAACGAGTGGCAATTACCAATCCCATGGGGGTAAGAATGTAACCTGACTCCGCCAGATGGATTTGCTCCGCATATCCATCTGGAAACCTTCCGTTGAAGTAATTTTGGGAAGCGGCGAAAATACTGGTTAGCTGATTGGCCTATGTTGGTGATAGACGGGCAAAATAAATCAATCAGATCAACGAAGCATATGACG